CCGCCATGTCGGCGACCATCTTCTGAGGACCCTTGGACGGGTAGACGCAGCCGCGAGCACCCGTCTTGAGCGTCAAGCAGACCGCCGACTCGGGAGCCTGGCACCAGCCGTTCTTCGACGAGAAGAGGCCAGTCTTACAATCGCCCGAGGCCCAGTCGCCCTGCTTGGGGCAGGCGCTGCCGTTGCCGCCGCAGATGGCGCCTTCAATGCAGTAGGTGGCGTCGCCTTCGACGGAGACGTTGATGCAGGCCGTGGCGTAGGCGGTAGTCGCGAGGATGATGGTGAGCTTCATGGTCGGATGGTCGGGGAGAAGGAGGAAATTGGAGAATGACAATGGAATCACGTTTGGTCTGAAGGTTGAACTTTGCTCAGGTGGATTGATAGCAGCATGGACGGATTCAATTTTCACTGGATTCGCGCATAGATGTCGAGCAGGTTGCGCGAGCGATCGCAATCCGCCGACACATTTTTAAAATTTGTACCAAATCAGGACGAAAGGCAACCAAGCACTCTGTCGTCGTGTCGAAACGCGCAGTAAGCTCAACACATCCTCCTCATTTGCCGCCGAGATCATTTGTGAACAGGATTTACCCACGACCCGGAACAAGCGTCACAGGACGGTGTATTAGGTTGGTGTGTTTGCTGCATGATGGTACTCTTGCATGGCCGGTCATCAACCTTGCACAAGTCGAGTAGCAAGATGTAACTGCTTGAGTGGTAGCATCGCACATCGGATCGACTACCCGGCCGCAACTCCAGTCCATTTCTCTCCGGCGCTTGAAGTTCCGAGTAAATTACGGTACACTCTCTGTCAGCGAGTACTAAAGGTTATTTGGATCGTTTGCCTTTCCACGCTTCACGTGTCCTAGGATTTTTAGTCATGAGATGTTCTAGAGCACTGGACCAACTTGCCAACGGTCACAACTCGCTCTGGCGCGGCCCGGACGCTTGTGTCTTCCGCTCCAAGTCCATGAACGATGGCTGTCAAGGCTGTCGAAATCGCCCAACTACCTCTGGGCTGCAACAGAACCTCGCCTACGACCTGATCGCCTCTGTGGACCGGCCCACAATCGCAGCCATGGAGTCGGCGCTCACTGCACGTGTCGCCTCGGTGGCGTCGTTGTCGTTTTGGCTCTGCTGGAGGGTAGGGTTGCGGGGGCGGCTTGCGTCGGTCTATCTGGTAGTGGACCAGGCTCAGCGCGCTGCCGAGCGCGATGCCTTCGTCTGTGTACTTCTTAATGCTGGCGGCTGGCGGCGGCGCGGTTTCGTCGGCCGCAAAGAGGTCGGTGGCCGGCGGCGTCGGCTCGGTCTTCTTGAGCGCCTCGACGCGGCCGTCGAGGTCCGCTTCTCGCAGAAGGCACCGCGTTCTGCCTCTTCGTGCAGCCGCTCGTCACGCCGGACCTTCTTGATGTTGGCGCACATCCACACCACTTCTTGTGCATGTGGATCCGCCTCGTTTGGAACTCGATCTGGAATGGATGTTTTCATTGGCTCCATCCTCGATTCTTTTAGCCAATCACAAGACTTAGTCCACGACCTCGTTAAATAGTGTGAGCACCATTCAGCACAACGACGAGTAGCAGCCCACAGACGTGCCGGCGCCACGTAGCAGCCGGGTATACCTCTCCACACACTTCTTGAATGACATGAATGTCGTTTCCGACGCTGCACGTAGCGCAATCACGCGCAAATCCATTTTCCATTTTTCGAGGTGGTGGCAGAATTGCCCAAATACTTCACGTGACATCGCGGGGTTCCAAAGCTCCAAGGACCGTAAAAATGGCTGCCACAGTTGGTGATGGGTCTCGACCCGGTGTACGACCAGCTTGTTGGTCACCGTCGTGGCTTGGGCACTCACACCAAACTCGAACTGCCGAGCGTCGGTTTTCAGGAAATTCGACATTCCATCCCGGTTGGAAATGCGTCGAAATCGCGGAAACCGAGGACGCCATCTCTATTTATTCATGTTGGAGAGCGTGTTGCATGTGGCCAAGGGAGGCAAAGTGCGCGCGATACCGCTGCGCGAGGAGGCCTTGTATCCCTTACAGTATCTCAGTATAGCGAAAAAGCACACTATATAAAAAAAATTGTTTGCCGCTGTCATTTGCTCTCGCTACAGAGCTCGCGCGGCGACGTCACATAGCATTTTGGACTCCCCAAAATGTGGTCTAGCACTCTGGCAAGTACGGGCGATTTCATTATCAAACTTCATTCTGGTCGATCCGCCGGCGGGGCGGGCCTGTGTTCACCAAAATATGGTAATTATGGTTGTAAATGGCGGACGCCAATAGTAACGGCGGCGACGCCAGAAAGACAACGCCGAGGCTCCTAGACCACCACTGGCGCTGCTGCCTTGGGCTCGAGAAGACTCCATCAGCAGTCTCTACGCCATCATAATGTGTCGCTCGGTCGCAATGCAGCGTTCCTCGTCGGCCTCCCTCATTTTCGTCAACGCCAGGCCAAAGCGTTCCAGCCAATCAGAGCGACAAGACTTATATTGTGGCCAATCAGAGCGGCAAGACTTTAGATTTGTGGCCAATCGCCAGTGTTCTTGCCGCAGTTATCGAACCGATCATTGTTGCCAGGCACGTGGTACGTGGCAAGCCGTGCGCAGGCCTCAGGCCGAGGCGCTCACGCGACGTCGCTGTAGGTATGGCGCAGCCTACCTATGCGTGACGAGCCACCGAGTCGGCCTTTGGGCGGAGCCCTGGCCAATTATTCGACGGCCTCTCTCGCACGTCGGCCACGGGATCGCCTCCAAGATGCGCTCCTTCAAGCTCCCAAGAGCTGCGACGACGCTGCGAGCGATGGCGCAATGTGCCTGGCATCGTGAGCGCCGCGGCGTCATGCGCTTGCGCGTCCAGAATGGTTAGCCCTACGGCCACATCCAATCTGACGGCGCGTCCACGCTCCAGTCGCTGCCGCCACACTCTACATGTACGTACATCCCGTCAACGCTCGAATCGTGTCTCAATGTCGAGCCTGCGTGCGGCTGCTCGCGCCGGCCGCCGCGCGCTGCACTCCTATTCATCGCCATATCTTCTTATTCGTCCTTGGTGGTCGACAGCTCGCGGCCAACGTCGACACGCCCTGCTGACGGCGGCAAGATACATGCCATCCGAATCCCCGAGCCAGACGGAGATGCTGCTCCAACGCCTTCGTATGTAGAAACCCACGTCCTTCTTACACTACTTTAGCGCGGTTCTCAACTACCCTTCTACCCTGGTCACTCCCATCGCGGCATCGGTGCAAGCATGCAATTCCGCGTGGCGCCGGCTACGATGGCAGTCGTTGATGGCGTCGATCGCCACGCTATCTACCCGAAGCGCCGGTGGCCCATGACGTTTTTACGCTTTTCCCCGACCACGAAACCCGAGGTTTGGAGCCTTCAAAATTGCGTTCGCACGCAACCATTGCCAAAACAGGCTCTTGGCTAGCAGAACCCGTCGTTTCTTGGTCAATTCGAGCTGCTGCTCCACAAAAAAGACAAAAAAGAATGAGCAGCGGGTCCGCGCTGCAGCGCTCAAGGGCACAGAAGCCGGACTCAGAAGACCTTGCGGGCCACATCTACACGGATGTCGACATCGACTCATCTACGATTAAGCTCCTTTCCAAGAGCCAAAACGTTTCGAAGTTTCCGACATTGGCGCTCACGCACTTCCACATTTGCTCGGGCGACCCGAATGCACATGTATGCAAGGACGAGAGTCTGAGCGGCTACGGGAGGCGGGCCGTTTGTGATCGCGCTCAGCACGCCGTGGGCGAGCCTGTCGGACAAGACGTCGCGGCGCGCTTGCGCGATCCCGGGTCGGATCGGATAGCGGTTTGCGCCTCGCGCAACGCCTTGCGGTACTGGACGAATGCACTGGCACGATTGTGGACGCTGGGCCGGTTGTCGATTTGCCCGCAAGGTTCATGCTCAACGAAAAGCAGGTCGCGTGGCTCTACCTCTTGGAGGAGTGGGTCATCGAGCGGCACGTCATGGTGTTGCGCGTCAGTGGTTCACATTAACTTACCACCTGAACCCGGACCTGGTTCCCGACGTCACCAATGTTGGACTGTCAATCTGTGCCAAAAAACCGTGCGCGGGGTCGAGCAGGCAGCCACCGTTTAGCATCGCCAAGGGCTTCGACTTTGGTTGGCCCGGGAAGCTTGTTGACGCGCCATAGACCGCGAGCCAGTCGAGCAACACTGGTGCCGATGGAACGATAGCTAGCTCGTTGTACTCACGAAAAAATATAAATATTAGAGAGTTTGCGAAATTCGTGATTATACTATAAAATTATACTATACGAGATAGTTGAATTTCGATCGTATAATAGAAAAACTCCGTTTGCGAAAACCGCCGGACACAAAAAATTATACTATGGCAGCTCATGCCTTCGGTGAGAGGTTCGGGTCGAGAGCCACTCATTCGCTGGTGCACGACAGTGGAGGCGCGCGGACATGGACAGTCGCGTGGAAGCCCAAGTTACGTGCGATGCTATCGACCTATGTACTAGAATGTTTCCAACTCAACAACTCCCAAGAGCCTCCTCCTCGTCTCCCATGCATGCCGCGTCTACGATCGCGCGCGCTCCTTCTCGCACTGATCACGCACCTCCAAGCGCAGAGGCCACTGCGCGGAGACGAGGCGCTGTATATGTTCATGAGAATACCTCCTTTACGATCCGATGGAGCCGGTGGTGCCAGCAAGCGACGGCTGAGGCGATGGTATGGTCCGCGCTCGTTTGGTCCGTCGCTGTCAGCGCTACGACGCAAATGGGCAAATGAAAGGGAGGGTACCTGGTTGGCTGAAAAGCCCCATATTTCATCCAATCGGCATCACTTGCCTCTTTACTGTCAGAGATTATTTATTGGCCGTATCGTCTGATATCAATTCCCACAAATATCATTCTTCGACAGGTTTTTTCGACCTATTATAGAAGGCCTCCGGAGGCCGTTTATAATATAGAATTCTATTATAGATTATGCCTTTTCACAGTGACCTGTGAGACTCGATCGAGATAGTATAATTTTTAGTATAATTTTGAAAATCGCAAACTCACTATTACTGTCACTCACTTTAATTAAGTCGTGGGAAGGGGATCGATCGATAATTTCGAATTCAGCTACCCCGTGCTCGCCTTCAACGGCCACTTGCAACGATATGTCCTTCGCATTCCTCGAGCGCCTCATTGCACGAGGCGCACGCAGCGATGCGCCCGGACCCGGCATCACGCTGGCTTTCCTGGCAGCAAGCAGTCAGCCTGGCCAACAGCTTCGCCGACAGCACGCAAGATGCGGTCACAAACTGCATGCCCTGCAACTCACAACCTTCATATACCACAACGGGCGACGCGGAAGACACACGCTTCAGGTCTTTCGCACTTCAACCGACTCCATTGCCCAACTTTCCCTGAAAAAGAGGTTTCCTACCAGCCCACTCCGCAGGAACCTAGTTTCACCCGCCTTGTTGTTGTAGCTAATGCGTCTCCCGCCAACATGGCCACTTGTGGACTCCATGCGTGCATCATGAAAATAACTTCATAACAAAAGCAATTGATAACTCATAAGCACTCCATAGTGTGTTCCTACCAGCCCCCTCCACCGGAACCTTGTGATCAACACACTTGGGACGGTGCAATCTATTTCAGATAAACGAAGAGCCTCTAAATGCCACCGATACAGACAGCAACCCAGGCAACAACTACATATGTGTATGTCTGTACGCAACAGCGCTTCCCTTGGCTGCTGGTTGCGTTCAACCAAGCTATCTGTCAACGCCAAAGCGCAATACCTTCCTATTGCCCATTTCAATCCGACTTCAAACATGAACAAAATCATTAGTGCATTAGTCAAAACCTCACAATGATTACGCCGAGAGTTCGTGGCCGCTGCGGAGGTGCGCCTCCATCTTCTGTGGGCCCTTGGACGGGTACACGCAGCCCCACGCACCAGTCTTGAGCTTCTGGCACGTCGCGGTCTCAGGCGCCTGGCACCAGCCGTGCTGCGACGAGTACAGACCGGTCTTGCAATCGCCGGAGGCCCAGTCGCCCTTCTTGGGGCAAGCACCGCCGCCGCTGTTGCCAGAGCACACCGGGCCGTTGACGCAGTACGTGGCATCGCCCTCGACCGAGACGTTGGTGCAGCCCTGCTCGGCATCGGCCGCCATGTCGGCGACCATCTTCTGGGGACCCTTGGACGGGTAGACGCAGCCGCGAGCACCCGTCTTGAGCGTCAAGCAGACCGCCGACTCGGGAGCCTGGCACCAGCCGTTCTTCGACGAGAAGAGGCCGGTCTTACAGTCGCCCGAGGCCCAGTCGCCCTGCTTGGGGCAGGCGCTGCCGTTGCCACCGCAGATGGCGCCTTCAATGCAGTAGGTGGCGTCGCCCTCGACGGAGACGTTGGTGCAGCCCTGCTCGGCTTCGACGTCCATCTTCTGGGGACCCTTGGACGGGTACACGCAGCCCACGCACCAGTCTTGAGCTTCTGGCAAGTGGCCGTCTCAGGCG